AATTATTTGTTACTGTTAGACCTTCTCAAGGAATTTTTAGCAGGTTACTCCTTTTCTGGGCCTCAATTTCCTTATTCACAAAACAAATGTCTTGGTCTATAATTTTAGATACACTGAGGTCCTTCTAGCATTAAAGTTTGGAATCTGTACATTCTCGAGGACAACTACCGTACATCACTTTTCTTTCTGACCCTTCCACACTTAGTAAGTGGTGGTCACAGATTGAGTGACTTTTCAGTGCATGGAGCATCAATTCCAGGTGCCTTAGCAGTCCTGTCACCTCACAGCCTTACCTCTTATCTTCAACCTGTCCCTCACTCCATTCCCGTAGTTTAATTAGTACCCGTAGACTTTTCCAGGCTTGATATGCCTTGAGATCTTTGCACTTGCTGTTTCTTACCATTCGGTTCTCTGCTCAAGTGATTCTTCCACGGAGGTCTCTCACCTGACCCCACTCTCTATCCCACAACTCTACTTTGTTCTTTTGTTCTTGTAGTGACTGTCTGATATTTTCTTATCATTTAGTCATTTATTTCCCCTTCTTGGTTTGCATTTTATCTGCATTTATTATTTTTTTTCTCTCCACTTCTCCCTCTAGCCCCCAAATATAAACTTCTGTCCTGGATTCTCTTATATCCCTGCTGCAAAAACAATACTTAGCACAAACTAGGCCTCTAAATAATCAAGAAATGAATGAATCAACACTGCCAGACCTTACAGAGTAGGTTTTAGGTGGTGAGCTAAAATCCGTGGCTGTCAGGCCAGGTTCTAGTGAACTTCTCTAAGTATGTGTCCTAAGCGTATTAATTGCCACAGGTCTGATTAAACATGGAGTGGGAAGAAATGAGGAATTCCTAGGAAGACAGCTGTGAACAATCATATCAGCTTATCTAGAAACTTACTTGCAATGGGAAATTTAGAGATAATTTTAAAAGATATAATCCATTTCTTACTATTACAGAAAATTTCAAACATAAACACAGTCCTTCTTGTACACTGTGGTGGACAGATTCTAGGTTGCCCCCTCATCCTAGTGTTCATATTCTTGTAATAGCCCCTCCCCTGAGTGTGTGCGAAACCTGTGACTTGCTTTCTAACCAACAGAGAGTGGCACATTTGATGCCACTCTTGTGTGATTACTTTGTGTTATATAAGCTTCCATCTTGTTAGCAGGCTTGTTCTGGAGACTCTCCTTGATGGTTTGATGAAATAAGTGGCTGTGTTGGGAAAGCCCATGTAACAATGAACTCCAGGTGCCCTCTAGGAGCTGAGGGCAGTCTCCAGTTGACAGCCAGCAAAAAGCCAAGGTCTTCAGTCATGTGGCTACAAGGAAATGAATTCTGCCAGTGACCAAAGTGGAGGCTGATTCTTTTCCAGTTGCGCCTCCAGGTGAGAATGCAGCCTAGCCAACATCTTGATGGTGGATATGAGACCCTAAGCAGAGGACCCCAAGTGCCTGGACACTTGATCCATAGAAATTGTGAAATAATAAATCTGTGTTGTTTTAAGCTGCTAAAGTTTGTGATAATTTGCTGCATCAGATAACTAATACAGATATATCTAACACCCAACACTAACAATTTTCAACAGTCTGCCAATATTATTTCATCTTATAGCCTCATGTTTTTAGACGGTTGGATGGGCTGGAGTATTTTAAAGCACATGCAAATACTTTAGTATGTATCTCTAACGGAGAAGGACTTTTAAAAAGCATAACCATGCTGCCAGGAAAATTTGGTCTTGAGAACAAGAATGGGAGTCTTTTTTTAAAGCCACCAAGTCAATGGGTTTAGTCTATTAACTGGACCAGGGAGAAAAGGTGTTGGCAGTAAATTGAGTAACATCCTGCTAATTCCATGAACTAAAGGAGAGGAAAGCATACAAGTTTCCATTTGAAATATCTGAGGCTTGCCAGTTGTTGTTTTTCTTTAAATAGTACAGTCACAAAATACTTAATTGTCCCAATAACACACTTGTCTGTCATACAATACCTAAAACCACTCTAATACAACTGACTAAGATCGTACCCATTCCTCTAAACTGCTTTGGAATGGACCCTTGTAAATATCACTTTAGATCATAATTCCTTGTAATTTCATGTCACACTTTAATTGCCATCCCCAACACTTTCTCTTTACTACAGGAATCTCTTCCGAATTGGCTCTAGTTCTTTTTCTCTCCTGGATAAACCAATCTCATCTCCCTTTGACACAGCTCACCGAGGCAGCGCTTAGTAAGGGAAATTCTCAGGGCGCTGGGTTCAATCTAATTTCTACCACTCGGGCGCTTTGTGACCTCTGGCAAGCAGTTGACTGTTTTCTAAGCTGGATGCAACAGTGCCTCGCAGGATTGTCGTGAAGATTAGACAAATAACGTGTGTAATGTGTGAAGTGCCCAACACGGACAAGGCGCAGTGGTCCCCCACCATTCTCTTTTGTTAGTTTCCATCTCTATCCGAAGAGCACCAGAACGCTCAGCACCTCACCTCTCCCGCTCTCGTCGCAGAGAATGCAGGGATTTGTAGTTCTTTGGTCCCTAAATTGTTTCCTCTCGGAGCCGGACCGGCGAGAGGAAGAACTACACATCCCAATGGCTCATGAAAGGAAAGTGGGGCTCGAAAAACCGAGCGTCCCCGCCCGGCAGGCTTCGCTCTCCGCAGCCCTTCGGCTGTGCCCACCGCGGAAGGGCTCAGACCCCGCGGCAAAGCCAGGGCCGAGCGCAGGAGCGGATCGGCAGGGATTGTCGGGTGGGATAGAGCAGGGAGGCGCGGACCGGAGACCGGAGCGGGCGGTCCCTTTGCCGCCGTGAGAGCTCCCAGGGGAAAGAAGAGAAATAAAGCGAGCGAAATGTGAGCGCCAGTGTCGGAGAAGCGAGAAAGAAAGGGCCGAGGAGGCAGCAACCCACGTAGAACCTGGCCACCACGGGGCTTGTCATCACAGAGGGAGGCATGGGTCGGGGCCAGACGAGACTCAGACCGCTCCGTTGTCCCCTCCTTCCCGCAGGAAACCTGGAAACCCGGCCTGGAAGTCGGCTGGGCCCCGAGACCCCCTCCCGCAGCCCCCATCCCGGAGTCTGGCCCGCTTCCTGCAGCCCCGTCCCTATCCTGTGGCCGGGGCACTGCCCACCCCATTCCCGGGCTGAAGTAGAGCCCCCTGCAACTTGACCACGCGCCTCGCTGGGGGAGGGAGAGGAAGAGTCGGGGCGGGCCGAGAAGAGTCACCTCCGTGCGGGTTCCTCAGGTCCGCTGGAGTCGCAAGAATGGGTTTGCGTATTGCTGTGTGAATGGGTGTCTCGAGGTGGCAGCTGCAGCCAGGAATAAACCCGGAGGAGAAGCCGGGAAGCGGCCATAAGTGTGAGGGAGAGCGCGCCACGCGGCGGGGCAGCGGGTGCTCGGCCAGAGCGGCCCCCAGGCGATGCTCGAGGGAGCCCAGCGCCTGCCCAG